TCTCACTATGTAGTTTAGGCTGACCTGGAACTCACTACATAGACCAGGCTAGTCTCAAACTCACAGCGATCCTTCTGCCTCAGTCTCCCAAGTGCTGGGATTACAGGCATGAGCCACCACACCCGGCCATTATCACCAGTATTTAGAACCCATAGGGAATGACTACTTCTCTGAGGTGTCTTCCAGGTATAGCTGGTCTTTGGGTTTTGAGTCTGTAATGACCATCAGGCAATCTCATTCTTGGTCTACCAGGAAGAACAACTGTCTACAGCAGTCATATCACCTTGGCCAAAGTAATACAATCATCATCAACAATAGCATCAAACACAGCTTAGAAAATGGAAAGCTGTGATAACTATAGATCTGTCACCCTCTACTGCAAGAACTACACTTGAGGTTATATATAAAAATCTAGGACTAACCAGCAATATGTTTACAGAAAATAAGCCCACCGGTATAGTGAATTTACCTTTTGAGAAGACAGCATGAGCTGGGGGTGGTGGTGGTAGAGAAATAGAAGGAAAGGTTAGAAGTAGGTCTAGAGGACACAGGAAGATCATATAAACTTTAGGAAACTGGTGAAGACAGAAGGGGAAGAAAGAAGGAACAAAAGCAAAAACAGAATAAACTAATGGCAACAGGAAACCAGAAACTGTATTCAAGCTCTTATAGAAGAACAATCAGGAAAAAATGGGGAAAACAGGAACAAGAAAGGAGAGAAATGAAGAGGAAGAAAGGAGGACAAAATTAAAGAGAAAGAAAGTAAAATGTAAAGAAAGACAAAGAAAGAAATGAAGTTCCTTTTGAGGCATGACTCTGATGTCACTGGTAGACAATGTAGCAGCAGTGTGCAGATCTGAGTCACCCATTCTCAGCAAGCCAGCCACAGTCCATTCTCCCTTGACTGATGCCTGAGATTCAGACTAGTTTTTGGTTGAAAGGTTGGGAGTCAGCTCCCTGATCTCCTATGGGTTTAAACTCTGCACAGATCTACTGCAGGTTCGAGCCATGCCTCCCTCACAGAAAGTTTGGGTTCAATTAGAAGGTGCTGATCCCAGCCACTCACCAACTGCTACAATCCGCTGGGTCTTTATTGCAGTGACTATCTTCACTCTCCCAGTGGGCTTCAATCTCAGCCTCAGGCCTCAGAGAAGACCTCTCTCTGCTGCTCACCACTCTGCCATCTTCCTGAGCTCAGAATGATGGTCTTTTGCCTCTCTGCCACTGTCTGGATCTGGCTGTTGCTCTTGTTGGCCTGGCTGATGATGGCAGGCAGGCAGGTAGCCCAGGCTGGCGAAGAATGCCATGCAGGCAGCCAGGCCCTGGGCGGGTGGAGCCTGGGCACTGGCTTCTGTAATTTAAGGCTATTGGAGAATAGATATTAATATAACCACTCCTCTTCATTGAATTTGAGAGTATGATGTCTAATACATAGTTATTGTTTACTGACTTAATGACTGTTCAGACTGATGACAAAGGATGGCATTTGGATTTACAGCCAGTCTTTTTTTTTTTTTTTTTTT